CAGTGGTCAGGTGCCTCTGAGCCCCAGAGCTCAATCCCTAGTACCCCATAAAAACAAATAAATACTGAAGGAAGATATCTGGAAGATACCTCCCCTCTTGTTATGGGTCCAGTCCAAACAAACATGCTCAGGGCCATAGCCACTCCCCTTCCCTGGGCCTCCAGGGTACCCCACTGGGCTTCAGAACTGGGACCAAAAATCAGCCTGTGTATAACAATGGACTCAGAGTTCCTACCTCCCCACCTCCCACCTCAGAGAAGACCAATGAGCTCAAGCTCCAGGCTAAGAGGACAGTGGGACAGGCTCAGGGATTTCTAGTCCTGGTGGCTCATTCTGGCCTGTTGCACCCTTGGGTGTGTTTTGACCATCTGGCGTGGATGAAGACCATAGATGTGGGGCCAACTAGGGGACTCTTGCCTCCCTCAGCCACCCTTCCAGCTCCCATCCATCCCAGATCCCCACACCTACCTCCAGGGCTTCCTCACACCTCCCCAAACTTCCCTCACCTGGGGCCCTCGTGGCTAAACACACCCTCTTCCCCAGAAGCTCCACCCTTCCTTGGCTAATGCCTCCTCCTTCTAGATCTCAGCACAAATGTCCCATTCTCGGGTCTCCTTTGTCCTCATCCCTCCGAGATGAGACTCGCCATCCAGTATCCACTGTTGAAGCACGCTCTCCTTTTCCTTCATGGTGTTTCTGGATTTATCATCACGTATTTACGTCATGCATGTGAACATCTGCTAAGCACGAGTTCCACCTCTCACTCCATGAGAGCTGACACTGTCCCTGCTTTGTTCATGGCTCTACCCAGCATTGAGAGGGTGCCAGGAATACACCAGGCACTTCATAGCATTGGAGGAGTCAATTCATGGATAGACTGGAGCTTGAGTCTTGATTGATGATTGATTGAATTCATCAATCTATTCACCATGAATGTTCCTGCTTGCAGCCTGGGAATCTGGAGAAGAGATAAAGGTAAGGGTGGCTATGAGGAGGGCCCAGACTCAGCCTAGAGGGTCTTGTGCCCTGCCCAGCATGGGAGAGCCCCAGTTCTCAGCCACCATCTTCTAGCTGCCACCCAGAGAAGACGTGGAAAGGGGCACCATTGGGAGCCCAGAATGCAGCGGGTCCTTTGGGAGCATCTTACTACCCAGGGGCTCAAGAAAAGAGGGCTACAGCCTAGGGAAGGAAAGAGGAGACGCAGTGACCAGGTAGCTCCGCCTGTGGTCCTCCCTGCAGCCCTCTCCCCCCACTCCTCAACTCAGTTCCTTCCTCCTTATCCAACAGACATGGGTCTGGGTGCAGGAGAAAGAAGAGAGCCACCCCTTTGCACCTGGCTCGTCTCTCCGGACATTGTCATTGTCCCCATTTAATCTAGCTCAACAGCTTATGGGTAGAGACTGGTCCTGGTCACTGATGGAGATGGGACAGGGACAGAGGCCACCATAGGCCTCTAGGCCAAGAGTCCATGCCCTCACTCTCCCCTTCTGGCCATCTTCCTTTCTGGCCCCTCTGAGTGAATTCTGGGGATACTCCCCCTAGGCAGCCAGAGAGCTCCAGATGGGGCTCCTGCTACAAGGTCCCCTGTTAGATTGTCACCTCCAGACTGTGGGGAGCTGACTCTTCCCTCATCCCTGGAGGCGCCAGGTGCCCTCTCCTCACATTGAAATCTCCTTCTCTTACTACTGGTTCTAAGTCAGCACTGTCCCCAAGAATTGGGCAGGGCCACCACACTCTCCAAGGCCCAGTTAGGAACTGTTCAAGAGGAGTGGGAACCAGGGCTGTCCCTGACAGTAGCTAGCCTTCCAGAGAATGAGGTCCTTGTCCACGAAACACATCCGGGAAGGGGACGTGTCCCTAGGAAGGGGCATTGCTTTTCTTCTAAAAGCAGAACAAACTAGTTCAACCCCCAGAGTGTCTCATCATAAAGCCCACTGAGGTTTTTGAAACCTAAGAACTAAGGACCAGAAGAGAGAAGGGCCTCTGTCCAGGGTCCTGGCAGCCTCATAGTCCTGTGGGTGGTCTCTGGGCCACCCTGCAACTCCTACCCTTCTTATAAGGAGGTTTAGTGAAACCTCAACCGAGATGGAAAACAGGAGGGTCCTAGAGGATGGAGAGACAAGGACAAGTCACTTGGGGCATGGTTGGGAGGGTCCAAGGGAGGGAGGTTGATCACAGCAAGGGGTTCCTTGCTCTGTCTCATCAGAATCCCAATATAGTACCTGGTACATCACGGTTCCCAGTAAACATGTCCTGTTCCCCTGTTTTTAGGTCTCTATAGCCTCACAGCCATTCACCCAATATATTTTTTATTCACTCATTTTTTCATTTATTCAGTCAGTGCTGGGGTGGGCACAGGCTGTCACCAAGTTCATCAGTGCAAAAGCCACCTCTGTTGGGGGTAGGGGAGAAAGGTAGCAACAGATGCCTGCGCTGGTGTGGGAAGGGCTGGGAGACTCCCTGTAGAGGTCACTAACCCTGATGGACAAGGGCTAGGTAGAGGATCAGGGAAGCTCCTGGGAGATGTGTGGAGGATACTTTAGGGGTAACCCCAGAAAAGAAGCATGGGAGCTGCCAGAGAGGTGGGCAGGTGCACAGAACCTTGCAAGTTATGTCAAAGAGTTTGGATGTGTCCTGAGACTCCTGAGGAGTCAGTGAAGGGATCTGAGCAAAGGAGTAATATGGCCAGATCTGAAATTTGTCACAACCAGGGACAATAGTGACATCAGGGTCAATAGTGTACATAAGACAGCCTAGAGCAGGTGTCTCCTGAAGATTTTAGCTCTTCTAGCAGAGCTCTTACCAGTTTTCTTACCAGCTCCCAACCCTAGGTTATAGGTCTCTGGTGGTTTCTGGGCTTCTGTCTCCCTAATGCCCTCTCCTGGCCCCATCAACATTTGGTTACCCCATGCCTCTGACTGGCATGTGCCAACTGTACCTATTTCAGGGGGTGGTAGCACCACGCACCCAGTGAGCAGCCCAAATATCTTCAACCTCTCTCTTCCTCATTTCTACTCCATTTTTCTCAAGTCCTATTGATTCTATCTCCTAAATTATCTCTTCTTTTTCCACCTCACCCCATCTTCTTCTTTGCCTCCTCTATTCTGGTCACCATCTTTTGTAAAAATTTCTATAAAGACCTCCATCCTAGGGTAGGCTAAATTTGCCCCAGTAAGCAACTTAAGGCTCAGTGACTTAAAAACCAAGGGTTATTTCTTACTCATTCCGCGTGTTCACCGTGAGTCAGATCTTTCTTGAACACATACATGATCACGCCTGATTGCTTATATCCTTCCTACGCCAAGACTAAATTCTGTGAAAAAGGACCATGTCTGTCTGATAATTTTAGCTCCCACACCTGGCTTGTTGCCTGGCATAAGGGAGTCAGTTAAAAAAAAAAAAAAACAGTTGTCAAGTGAGTGAGGGATGACATAGTTCACACTGTGACGTTCATCTTTGATAATAACTTATTATAAATACCCTCATCTTTGTTGGGATACCGGTGAAGGTGCATATAACAGAGATCCAAAATAATAGGGGCTCAGTTGAACTAAAGGAGTATCACCTGCTCATATAAAAGTCCAGCTGTATGAGACCCTGTTCCGCAGAGTCTTCAAAGCCTGGGCTCATTCCATCTCCCTGCTCTGCCATGCCGCATGATCAAAGATGGCTTCCCACACACACAGCTGTCCCACCAGCGGGAAGGGCAGGAAGGGAAAGAGGAGGGCAAACACCTTCCTGTTAAGTGGCATGACCCAAGCAGGGTGTAAAACGCTTCTCTTCATTTTAAACTGGCCAGGCCCTAGTCACGCGGCCACATCTAGCTGCCAGGAAGTAGGCTGGATGGCTAAAGATGGTCAGCCAAGGCAGACCACTGAAGATTTAGGACAAGAAAGTTGTCTGCTGCTTCCTTTTAATCTTATTTGCAGAATTGTGGCCTGCTCCATCAGGAGCCATGGACCAGGCGGGGAGGCAGCATATGCCAAATTCTAGTCCCTTCCTTTTTCATAAGCACCAGGGATCCATTTCTACCCAACAGAGACCTGTTGATGAAACGGCATGACAGCCAGCCTGAACAGCCCAGGGTCAATTCTATCCACAGAGGGAACTCAATTATATCAAGGGAAGACTGCCTGGGTGCCCCAGGCCACATGCCCCATTAGTCCCAAACCTTGCCAATATTACCTCCTGTATCTTGTGTCTCCTGCATCTTGTGCCTCAGCCTTCTACCGGCCAGGCAGCATGACTTCCCACCTGGACACAGGCTATTCTTCCACCTTCCTCCCCAAACCCACCACCCCTTCTGATTCATTCCCCACCTGCCTCCACCTCCACTTACCTGGTCTTGCCTCCTCCCAGTAATACAGTCTCCATTGCCTTCCCCTCTCCAAAGCTAGTAAACTCCTCACTTCAGCCCTCTTGGTCACTTCTATGATTGTCACTGCCCATCCCCCTGATGCATGCTTCAGTCCCCCTGGCAGCCAGGAGGAAGAGCAGAGGTTGAGGGGAAGAGGAGGGAGAGGAGGGAGAGGACATACCCTGTGAAGCCCAGAGGGAAAACTCTCGGGTGAGGGCTGGGAGGAGAGTGTCCTCTTACGGGGAAGGCTGCTGACTCCCTGAGCAACACGGAGGCAGGCCCTTTGCTAGCCTAAGCCTTCGTTTAGCTCCTCTGTGAAAAGGGGCAAGAAAGGGTCTGTGGAAGATCCCCATCTGACCAATATATTCCCTCCCTCCAAGACTGAACTTAGTGCTCCCTACTCCCCCAAAGGCCCTCCTGATTTTCCCACCTCATCTTAGCCCCAGCCCAAGGAGTGTCCTCGCCTGGGTTCCTGTGGTGCCCCAACATCACCTTGCTCTCTCTCTCTCTGCTGGATTTCCTATTTGCCTGGCTCATGTCCCACCTACCCTCATCACATGCCCTTCATTGCAAAATCCCACAAGAAGAGGCCACTTGTGACATCTCTGGATCCCTAGGTGTTGCTATATAGTAGGTGCTCAGTAAATCCGTGTAGGGTGCGTGGAGATGGTGCGTTGAGATGGTTTTTATTAGACAAGTCTATAAAGGAGCTGCTTCAAGAAGCAGGTGTGCAAGGTAAATCAGTCCAACATTGTTCCTTTAGGAAAGTTTGAAGAGTAGGTACTATAGAACCCTGTACTGCGCACACCCATCTGTGGATCACAGCCGTTGCCTGGGATCCCTGACCCCACTTCATCCTACAGAATCTGCATATGATTACCAAATGATTTGCATATACAGTTGTTTGTTCTAAATATCAAGCACTTTTTGGGGGAGGGGTACAGGGGTACAGGGAACAAGGGGCGCTTAACCACTGAGCCACATCCCCAGCCCCCTAATATATATGCTTTTAAAAAATTTTTTAGTTATAGGTGAACACAATGTCTTTATTTTACTTTATGTGGTGCTGAGGGTTGAACCCAGTGCCTCATGCATGCCAGGCAAGCTCTCTACCTCTGAGCTACTACTCAAGCCCCTATATACATGCTCTTAAGGCTAGACTCTTACCAACCACCCAACCCCAGGTTACTGGTCTCTGGTGGTTTCTGGGCTACTGTCTCCCTAATGCCCACCCCTGCCCCATCAACATTAGTTACCCCATGTCTCTGACTGGCATGTGCCAATTGTACCTGTTTTAGGGGGTGATACCACCGCCTACCTAGTGAGTTGCCCAAATATCTATATATATATCTATGTATATATATACACACAAATATATATATATATATTCTAATTAGTAATAATGACAGTGGAATGCATTTTGACACATAATACATAAATGGAGTATAACTTCTCATTCGTCTGGCCCCAGCCCTATTTTATATCTTATTCAGATACAGGGTCTCGCTGAGTTGCTTAGAGCCTTGCTAAATTGCTGAGGCTGGCTTTGAACTCATGATCCTCCTGCCTCAGCCTCCCAAGCTTCTGGGATTACAAGCACCACCCCGCCCGTCCACATCAAGCACTTGTGTTGGTCTAGGCTTGGGCTGCACAGCACTGGGGAGGATCCCAGATCCCATCTCTTTGTCCCCACCAACTGTCAGGCTCTCTGCTGGGGATTTGGTGACTTCTCTGGGAATATCCCCAGGAACCTTTCATGATTACTCCAGTTAGCCAGCCCCTTTCTCCCTCTGCTGGTCTCTTGCCAGCTGCAGATACTGCCTGCAGCTCCATGCTGAGAGGAAACACCAGGCAAGTGCCCAGGTGTGGGGTGAATGCGATTCTTGAACAAGACCTGAAATCCAAGGTGAAGTCTCGCTGGTCAGAGGAGCTGAGGGGGCAAGTCACTCCACAAGCTGTGGGGACAAGAGGTTATTATCATTGTATCTGATCAGCCCTGGGAATCTGTGGGCCAAGGGCTCCTGTGAAGAGTTCAGGCATGAAGATAAGCATGAAATCCCGTGGCAATATTACAGGACCTACGTAGCACTCGGCTTTCTGGAGGACCTGCTGGGACCTTTCTGCCCCAGTGATCTGTGACTCCTGCTGTTCAACAGCAGTTCTAATTCACAGGGCAACATGGGGCAAGGCCCTTGGCTTCTTTGGGCTGCAGTTGTTCATCTGAGGAGCAAAGAGAAAAAACAAAATGTTGTAAACGTTGGCTGCAATTTGAACTAAAAGTCTAGATATCTCAGGAGTGATCCCGTCTCTTCTGGAAGGACCCCTTGTATGAACAACCATACAGGCAACTGGGAATCTGTCACTGCCATGAAATTAATCACCCTAAAGAAACCCCATGACCAATGCATCTCACTGCTCAAATGATTTGCAGACCTGCTGCATTCATCCCAAATTCCTCCCCAGAGGTCCCAGTCATATGGTCCATCTCCTCCCTCAGCAAATCCTTAGTCTAGGTCTGAGTCTACTGCCTGTCACTGAACATGGTTTGTCCTGAATTTGTGTGTCTGGGCTCCTGCAATCCCACTTCCTCCTCCTTCTCCTCCCCTGGGAAGTCTCCCCTGATCACCTCCATGGCTCCAGCCAGACATGAGAGCTCTCTTTCCTCTTGTTCCTTTGTGCTTCCTGATAGCCTGGTATAGAAGATGTCCTTTGTGAGCCCCAAGGTCTGGCCTCTTTCCTCAAGATTGCTTCCCCTCCTGCAGAGCCCAGCACAGTGTCTGAGGAGCAGAGAGTGATGTTAAAATCCCCTGGGTCCTTAAAGGGAGCATCCCCAGCAGCTTCCATGTCCCACATCTTCACAAAGACAAGAGTTTCTTTGCTCCTGTTTTAACATTAAAATTCATGAACCTGGCTAGATACAGTAGCACACATCGGTAATCCCAGCTACTCAGGAGGCTGGGGCAGGACGATCACAAGTTCAAGGCCAGCCTCAGCAACTTAGTAAGCCCCTGCCTTAAAAAAAAATAAATAAATAAATAACAACAACATCAAAAAAATTTTTTTTCATGAACTTTTGTGTTCTATACAATCATATGTGTGAATTTGTTTTAATATAAAACTCATGGTTTTCCTCCATGAGTTCCAAGAGAATGCTGCCCCCCCCCACCTACCCAGTTGAGCTTCCAATGACTCTGATAGACTTGGGCTTTGTATACCTTGCACAGCCCTTGACAGCTTGCAAAACACTTCCACAATGTAAATATCATCTCACTTGAGGTCACCATGTAATGGGACCTCCAGCAAAGAAGGCAAGATTTATTGCTCCTATTTTATTTTACTCTGTTTTTTGCAATATTGGGAATCTAATGCAGGACTTCACACTCGCTAGGCAAGCACTCTGCCCCCAGGCTATATCCCCAGTTCCATTATCCCTATTTTACAAAGAGCTGCTTGAATCCCACAGCTAAAAAATAACACCAGTAGGGCTGAAAACCTTTTGACAAATTTTCCTAATCCATAGACTTTCCTGCTATTAGCATAGCAGGTCAACCAGCACTAGCCACTGCAGGGATTCTACCCTACCAGGTGCAATGTCAAGTTCATTTGGAGACAGCTCAACCTCTCACTTCTACTAAGGGCAGGAGTATTCATCCACCCAGACACTCAAAATCCTACCTCTTCCTGGGCTTGCAAACTTGTGCTTCAAGGCCAAAGTCCTCAGAAGCCCCTCTCTGACACCCTTCCCAAGGTGAATAATTCTGGCTATAAACCCATAACCACCAAGAGAACCCCAACACATACCCAGAGCTAGAAGGACGGCCTTTGGGCCCCAGAGCACTAAGGACAGGTTTCTGAATATACTGGAAGGAGGTCAGGGAATGAAAGACTTTTTTTTTTTCCCCAATAGTCCTTCACCCTTCTCCACTTACTCACCTTTCCTGTCCTACTTCCTAGCTCCCAGCCCCACCTCCACCCAGGGAGTGGCTCCTGAATTATGGCACTAAACCAGAAATGATGGTGAGTGTAATGGACTTGGCTCTCCAGCAGAGCCCCATCTCAGGAGTGAGAGGCTCTAAATGTGGAGAGCAGGACACAGGCTAACCTGCTGGACTGCTAGCCCTAGGTTACCACGCAGTAACCTCCCTGGGGACCCTCTCAAAGGAGCACTCTGAGGATGCATGTGACTTTGCACAGGGATCAGCAACCTAGGCACCTTCTCCTGCCATGTCTAGCACCAGAGTCCCTGCCCAAAGGAATGTCCTTGCATCCAGGCACTAAGGTCTCTCCTTTAGTGCAGTTTAATGGTATCACGTTGGTGAGCCACTCTGAAACTGTTTCTTGATCTTCAAAATGGTATAAAAGCCCTGGATTCTTTCAGCCTTTCTTGGGTAATAGAGTTAGAAAATACCTTAAAATTTATTTCCAAAGGTAATTAGATCCTCTGACCCCAGGACCAAGGAAGGAAATTTAAACCCATGTCCATAAATGGCCACAATCCCTGTTGAATCAATGAATCATTTCAATACAGGACGGGAAGGGCCAAGAGGATCATCAGGCTGGCCTGCTGTGGGGGTGGAGGAGCCCTCAGTCCCTTGGGGAGCTGGTCCAAGGGGCAGAATACTGTCCACCCTGCTGTCTACCTCTGTGCTCACTAAGTCAGTGGCCTGAGATGGCCAGGTGTATATGGGAAAAGTGGGACTGTGGCCGCTATAGATGGCACACCCCTCAGTGACCACACAGGGACTCAAGCCCAGTGTCACTAGAGCCTGTGACTGCAGGAAGTGGGCTCTCTGGGTGCTCCAGAATCAGGTAGGGAAGGACAATCTCTAGCTCTGAAGCCACAAGACAGAACACCTGGGCTGGGGGGAGCCCCTGTGGTGTGGACGCGGCCTTTGGAAGTGGAATGCAGGAGGGAAAGACCAACGGGGAGATCAGACTGCTCTGAAATCTTGCTGGAAGGTTCTAGCCTAAAACGAAAAGCTGTAAGAGACTCCCCTCCTCCTCATACCCCCTCCAGCCGCCAGGGCCTGGTCCCTGCAGGCTGGCAGCTGCGGCAGGATGACTTGCAGTTTTTGCTGGCAGTGTCAGGCTGACTGGGGCAGAGAGCAGCTCCCCCCACTGCTGCTGTTTGGCCAGTCTGGGCTCTGGGTCTGACTACAAGCAGGACTGTGGGTGCTCCTGGTCCAGTTCTCCCAGACCTTAGGACTTATCTCCCTTCCCCTGCAAGCTAGGTCTCCTTTGAGGGCTCTGCTGCCCCAGTCATCCCAGACAGAGACATATTTTTGTCTCAGTCAGTGGATATTGGTTAATTGATTGCTTTCCCCTTCTCCAAAGCCTATCAGGAAAGTCTTCAGACACCTCTTTGAAAGGGAAGATGACTCAGGTGGAATGATTTCTAATTGTCCTCCATTGTGCTCTCGTGGAACTGGAAGATGCACCCCACTCCCCAGCTTTCACTTAGGGGCCCCCTAAAAATATCCAGAGATGCAGGAATGCACCCAGGCTTCCCAAGGCTCAGGGGAAAGATCCCCTCCCGGTCTCTGTCCCCTAAAAGAAGAAATAGAGCATCCTAAGGGGCGGGGCCTCTGCCCCTGCCAGGACCACACTCAGGGACCCTCTGCAATCCCTTCACTTAACTGATGGACACGTTTTCCTCTCTCTGAAATGTGGGATTTAAAAAAGCCTTTTCACAGCTAAAAAACCCAGACTTGCAAGCAGAGAATTAGGCCGCTCTTGAGGCTTTGTTGATTCTCCAAAATATTCCACAAAGTATGGAGGTAAATAACGATTGCTAAATTAAATGTTACAAAAATAAATGATATGAGTACACTGTTCCTTCGCCAAGTATTTCTGAACCTACAAACTTTAGACTGCTGCCACGAAGTTTATCCTGCAAGCTTTTTAAACAAATTCTACTTAAGAAAACTCCAGCAGAACCCAATTCCCCAAATAAAGGGTTTTAATACCACAGAGTGGGTGACTTAAGTCACATGATGTCCCTCTCCTATACTCCTGGTATAGCCACTCCTGGAAATGAAACTAATACAATAAAAGTGTCACTGTTCTCCATTAAATTTGTATTGCTCTCAAAAAAAAAAAAGAAAGAAATCAAAACTTTAAATATAAATGTCCACTCAAAATGCGGACATTAAGAGATGTAAGCAGGAATAGTGCTAAGTCCTAATTTTCTTTTAGAAAAATGAGATTAAAATAATAATTTTCTTTTGAATATCCAGAGAGCTGTGCATTTGTAATATGCACCCTTCTCTGTGTTATGCTTTGATTCCAAGTTCTTTCTCTCTCCATCCACCTATTGTAATCCTCATTCATACCTACCTCTCAGGAATGTTGTGAGAGTCTAAGAGACTGAGGTACTTGGCAATGATCTGCAGACTACCGAGTGTCAGAAGAGGACAACCATCACCACAGAGCCGGCAGCCTCTCACGCCCACACCTGTCAGAACTGGGACTGGCAAGAGGCAACGTGACAGCATTCAGGGAAGAGGCTGGGAGAAGGCAGATTCCACCCCGCACCAGCTGCACTGCTTAGGCAATCGTTTAGCTTCCCTGTCCCAAGTTTATCTGCCTGTAAAGTGGGTACAGTAACCTCTGCGTCACATGATGAACACCAGCAGGCATTGCCAACTATGTCATGAATGCTAACTATGAAAATATGTCACCTTGGTGTCCTACCACTGCCCACACCTCTCTTCTCACCTTATTCTAAGCTCATCCAAATAACCAGCGTCCCACCCCCGGCTTTAGTTCCTCTCTGTGTTCTCAGTGGCAGCTGCAATATTCCCTGTAGCCCCCTGGGAGGGCACCCTGGGGTCTGATGCAGAGCAAGATGACCTGGAGGAGGCAAAGCAGAGCCCACCTTCAAGGGTCCACCTGGGGTCCCCGTGCCAGGCCTTCCTTCCCAAGTCTCAGCATCCTTGTGTGTGAAACAATAAGAGAAGAAATAACAGGTTCAAGAATGACACAGGTGAGAGCCTCACTTCTGGGAGCATGTCCTCCTGGCTCCAGGGGCAAAGGGATGAGCCAGAGTCACTAAGACAGAATGTGGCCACCAGGTTCTGAGCCCAGGCAGCCAGACTCCAGAGTCTTGTCTCCCTGTCATTGTGGCTTAAGGGTGGCCTCTGTGTGGGACTAGACCCCAATTTTCTCCATCTTCATCCAACCTAGGCAGAAGCAGAGGATTTACCATGCACACACAGCTTCAGACGCCCCAGCCACACCCACCCGCACTAATGGCCACCCAAGCTGGGTCTCTTCCCACCACTCTGATGAAAAGACAGGAGCTGCCCCCAACAGGGAGGCTGTGGAAGGTAGAGCCCCATCTCTCAGCTCCTGTCTTCCCAGGCCTGATATGTAGGTCACCCTTCCAGTCCCTGGTGTGATGACTCACCTCCCCTCTGTCACAGGCTGATAAAGAATTTGAGCCATTAAAGAAGTGGAACCAATTACCAAATGGGAGGGACGAGAGACACCCAGGATTAAACTAGTTCATTATTCATAAATCATAAATGACTCTTTTTGCCACTGATGCTTGTCTCTAGCTCTGTCTACTGGACTTGAAGTAGCAATAGTCTCCTATGGGCAGGAGGGCAGGTGCCAGGGGTGGCACCAGAGCTGGGTTGGTCCAACCCTGACTGGCTTTGAGCTGTAAGATCTTAGAACAAGATGGTGGGGTGGTCACCTCAGGGCCCGCTGTGCCAGGGCACAGCTCCCACATGTGAAACGGCTGGGTAGGGCTAAGTCTCAACTGCCATGTCACCTCTATGGAAGGCGTTACTTCTTGGGGGCCATGTCACCTGGGTGGGCCAGATTACCTCTATGGAGCGTGTCACCCCAATGGGCATGGTACCTCCTCAGAGCAGGTACATTTTCAAGGAATTGATGTGCCTTCTGGGGATGTCCATGGATCTCTGAGAGACAAGACCAACCTGGGTGTCTTTCAGGGCCTGTCATGCTTGGATGCAGCCAGTAAGGAGAGAGACCAGACAACCCACTACCAAGGACAACAGGACATCTGTTCCCCATCCTTGGAGATCCTGCCCTGCTCTCAGCCATAGCTGCCCCAGGCAGGTCTGCGAGTTTCTATCAATATGAGAAAGGAACAAGGGCCAGAGTCTCAGAGACTGGGACATGGAGACTGGGAGGTGACCTGACCGGTCTAGGGAAGGAGTGTACCCTGCCAGGATTGTGGAAATGGAGGCGAGAGAGAGGGTCCTCCCCCTGCTGGTCATAGATGGGAAAGGCACTGCAGTGAGCAGGAATCCAGGGCAGGATGTCAAGGGAGGAGGAGAAACTGCACTGATTTCAGGCAGACATCTGCTCGAGGCTCTCAGTGTCACCCCAGCTGCAACACTATTTTGATCATTCATAGCTCCTACGCTACGGGTCAGGGAGTCCTAGACAAACAGCAGCGGTATTCTGGGACTCCTTGTGGCAGGGCGCTTTACCTAAAGCTTCCTGGGCTTGTGCAAAAGGCTGGAAATCCTCTCCAAGTCACTCACATCTTTTCTGCACTCCAAGGGGCCAGCTGTGTTTGAGAGATGAGCTGAGACTAGGGTGGAGGGGCAGGGAGGGGATAGGGGGACCAAATCGCTGGGCAGTGCTCTGAGTTCCTGCCAGCAAGAGGTAGGCATGGGCTCTCACATCACAGCAGCAAGTGCCATGTGCCTGCCACGTGCCAGCAGCACCCCCAGACTGAATCCACCAAGGACCTTGGGCTCATTTCACAGATGTCCTGGCTGTATTGACGTGCTCATTAGGAGGAAGGTCAGATTTTTTCCACTCTCTCCGTAGCCACATTCATCAGGTCCACTTTAATTCTTGGATTCGATCACTTCTCACCCCTGCCTCTTACTTAACTGTTCCCAGGATGAAATCTCAGTCTTAGCCAAAAGGGCACCCTTCCTACTGAAGTCAGAGGTCAAACAAAGCCTCCTCCCGCAGCCTCACCAGCCTCCGGCACAGCCGCTTCAAGACCCAGCCTGCTGCTGACTTTCAGAGACAGTGCCCGCCTGTCACGGAAGCTCATGGAATTCCACAAGCCACCCGACTTGACACCGATTTTTACAGCTTTGCAGTGAGTTTCCTTAGTTCCCTCCCCCTGAATGCATTATAAAGTTAAAAGGAGAAAAAGAAGTCTTTTAAAAATCCCCAGCTATCTTAATTAACATGCAGAATGCTTTTCTGGCAGTGCACAGACTGTGATAAAACGGGAAGCTTCTTAACACAACATATATTTAATCCGTGGCTTTCGCTTCCACATGAAATTCAATCAGATATTTTAAGGGAGTTAACAAGTGCTCTCAGATCGAACTATGAATAAATGCAGGTGTGATAAATATACTCGAGCTGTTGAGCTGCTTTATCCAATGATAAGGGTGGAGCCTGGGGTGGGGTTAGAGGGTGCATGCACCTTAATTCTAAATCTGTACATTGTCAAAGAGGGTAGGGGAATTCAGTGGACAGTGCCAGGGGCGATCTGATGACCCTTTGCCTCTGAAACATCAATTAAACTTGCTCATTTTGTTCTGTGTCTCCGGGAACGCCTTAATGTGGGCCTGCTATGTGTCAAGTACTGAGAGGCAGGGACCAACCAGTAATGCAGTTCAGGTGTCTGTCTCCACCCTTGTGAAATTCACATTCTGATAGAGAGATGAACGATAACAGAGAAACAAATGAAAATAAAATTTCCAGTTGGGTTAAGAAACACAGTAATGAGAAGGGTTCGGGTTGGTCATCTTCAGGAGTTGGTAATTGAGATGGGACCAAGAGCATGAGAAGGAGCCGACTGTGTAAATGGGGACAGCCTGTTGATGTTTTTGAGAGTAGAGGGCCCTGGGTGTGTTGGCAAGGAACTGGACAGGGCGGGCAGGCAAGCCTGGAGGACCAGCGTCTGGTTGCAAAGGCAAGCCTTCCAACTTATCCTTAATTTTTTTTTCCAGTTGAAAGTTTCATCTGCTACCAATCTGTGGGGAAAGGACGGTTTGTTCGGCAGCCGATATGAGGAAAATCGCTCGATACAGGGCAAAGAAAGTCGTATCTCCCATCACACATAAAGGCAAGCCCCCAACAGATCTAAGACCTCGCTCAGAGCAAAAGTCAACAGAAAGAGCGAGTTAACAGGAAAAGAGAGGAGAGGGCGATCTTTGCGTAGTTGAGGTGAAAAGAATATCTTAAAATAATTCAAAAAAACATAACCTAGCTGGGCGTGGTGGCTCACACCTGTAATCCCAGCAGCTTGGGAGGCTGAGGCAGGTGGATTGCAAGTTCAAAGCCAGCTTCAGGAAATTAGCAAGTCCATCATCAATCAAATTGGTGAGACCCTGTCTCCAAATAAAATAAAATAAAATAAAAAGGGCTGGGGATATAACTCAGTAGTAAAGTGCCCCTGGTTCAATCCCTGGTACCAAAAAACAAAAACAAACAACCTGCTGATGAAAATTGAATGAATTTGACAACAACAAAATTAAGGATCTTATTCAAAAACAACATTCTCGACAAAGAGAACAGCTAGGTGAAAATGTGAAAGAGATTTTTGCATTGTCTAAAGCCAAGGGATTAATATTTAGATTAAGGGCCAAACCCGGTTGTTTACCTAATTTTGTAAAGAAAGTTTTATTGGAACACAGCCAATGCCTATTCATTTACACATCATTTAGGTCTATGGCTGCATTTGTGCTGTATCGGCAGAATCAAATCATTGCAATAGAGACTGTGTGACCCTCAAAGCCTAAAATATTTCATATCTAGCCTTTTATAGAAAAAAAATTGATCTCTCTATATAGGGAAATGGGCACAGGAAATATAATAGACAACTTGGAAATTATGAATAGGCAACTCAAGAGACAGGAAGCAGACTGGCTGATGAATAACTGATAAAAATAAACGATCTCTTGGGGCTGGGGTTGTAGCTCGGTGGCAGAGCACTTGCCTAACACAAGTGAGGCACTGGGTTTGATCCTCAGCACACATAAAAATAAATAAATACAATAAAGGCATTCTGTCCATCTATAACTAAATATATATGTATACGTATATTAAAATTTTTTAAGAGTGATCTCACCAGAATTCAGAAAACACAGGCAAATCTTCTTTGAGATTCTTCCTACTCATCTGATCTGCCAAAAAAAAAAAAAAACCTGGAAAGACATGTAATTGCAAGTGGTGGTGAAGATGACAAATAATTAGGCCACCAGTTATAGTAGAAATATGCCCAGCCATTCTGGAAAACACCCTGGCGGCATTTGGCTAAGCAGCATGAAGTTGCTGATATAGAACCAAGAGGGAGTCCCCGGGAAGGCCCTGTGTTCTGCTCTCCATCCCAGCCCACTGGACAACAAGGTGAGGTGTGGCACTGGAAAACATCCACCTTGTGAGTGTCCACCCTGCACGAAACTGCCCCTCCCTGTTTCTAGGAGAGCCCTACACTGT